CTATACCTCCCACGAGCCCCTGCCAACCTCTGACTGAAATAAGCTACTGATTTTCCTTCCTGACTGAGGACGACTCCGATACCCAATTTAGAGGCATCACAATGTAATGCAAAAGGTTTTGTGAAATCAGGCAACGCAAGTATCGGGGCTGAAGTCAGATGCTCCTTAATGATCAAAAAAGCTTTCTCAGCCTCGGGTGTCCACTGAAACTTACTCTCCTTCATGCAATCAGTAATGGGAGACATGATGGTGCTGAAGTGCTGAATAAATCGTCGATAAAAGGACGCTAAACCGTGGAAACTCCACACATCAGAAACTGACTGTGGACGTGGCCACTGCCGAATCGCATCAACCTTAGCTGCATCCACCGTTACCCCACCGGCTAACACACCCAAAAACAAAACACTATCGGTATAGAACACGCACTTCTTAGTGGCTGCAAAGAACTTCTCCTTGCGTAAAACAGTAAGGACTTCCCTTAGATGCACACCATGAGACTCCTCCGACCCACTGTACACAATATGTCATCGAAGTATACAACAACGCACTTACCAATAAACGGTCGAAGTGCTTGGTTTATCACCCGCATGAACGTGCTCGGTGCATTGGATAGTCCAAACGGCATAACTAGCCACTCAAATAATCCCTCCCGTGTCTTAAATGCTGTCTTCCACTCATCACCAGGACGGACTCTTATCTGATGGTAACCACTTTTTAAGTCCAATTTGGTAAACACAGTTGCGCCGGCCAACTGATCAAGCAAGTCATCTAGCCTCGGTATCGGAAAGCGATAACGAACTGTTATTTTGTTGATGGCCCTGCTATCTATACACATCCGATAACTCTCATCTTTTTTTGGCACTTGGAGTGCGGGGAATGCACACGGGCTGAGGCTCTCTCTGATGTACCCCTTCTGCACCAACTCCTTTACTTGTCTCCTCAACTTCTCATGTTCCACTGGGCTCATTCGATAATGTGGGTGATTAGGCAATGACGCATCCGGTACCAAATCAATGTGATGTTGCATATCCCGCAAAGGCGGAAGACCCGTGGAAGGTCATACGGAAACACATCATGAAACTCAGACACCAAGGCGGCAGCTTTGGGGTGAAGACTCGTACCCTCGGCTGTCATAGGAACTGTCGACACTCCTGTCGCCTCAGTTCCCACTAACAACGGTACAACGCCTTCTGCCAGTATCTCACGCACAAACAAAGATCGGGAAAGTAGATTACTACTGTCCCCTGTCGAAGACAGACACTGCGTATCTTTGGAGGGTAGTAGTACAATCTTTTTACCCGAAAATGTGAATGTATATGCATTTCGACACCCTTCATGGCACACATCCCTATCAAACTGCCATGGACGACCCAACAACAAATGACACGCATCCATCGGCACCACATCACACCAAACACTATCACGATACACACTGTCAATAGAAAAAGATACCAACACACGGCTAGTAACACGAATTTCATTACCTCGTCTCAACCATGCTAGGCTATAGGGAGCAGGATGAGGTTTGGTGCTTAACTGTAGCTTCTGCACGGCCGCTTCAGATATCACATTTTCGCAACTGCCCGAATCAATGATGAACCTACACACCTTTCCTCCAATGGTACACGTAGACAAAAAGATATTGTTTCGCTGCAGGTCCTTAGACGACCCCTTAGGCATAAGGCACGTCTGTCGAACCACCAAAAGAGGCCCCGTGTCACCTGTATGCACAATTTCAACCTCTTCTCCTTCATTCTCCACATGAACAGGATCGTTAACATCGACTTGTGTTGTCCCTCCAACGAACAAACCTGGGCGTGGCTGCCCATGAGATGGACAGTCCTTCCTCAAATGACCAAAACCACTACAACCAAAACACTGACTTCCACGCCCTCATCCACCAGGAGGAGCCCAGCCACCCAGATTAGCGGTTGGAGGAACCACTGGCCGAGTGTTCCGATCAATGCCCCGACCCCCAGATGTAAAGGATTGGGACGGACCAGATGTGGGATTTGGGGCGAATTGTCGACCCCCACCTCCAGATGAACCACCAGAAATGCCTACTACAGAACGACGTTGTTGTTGATTTTCAGCCTGAAGTGCTCGCTGGTGAGCCTCAGAAACAGATATCGGCAAGAACATATTTAGGACGTCTTGCAAATTCAATCATAGTCCACCAATATAGCGCGCTACCAACTGGTCTTCTGATTCTCCCACATCATTTCGCGCTATCAGTTGGTAAAACTCTGTGGAATAAGCATCTACAGATCGATTGCCTTGTCTCAAATTCTGTAAGCGCTGATACAAAGTCCTGAAATAATTAAAGGGAAGAAACGCTGTTTTCAACTGTTTCTTCATTTTTCCCACGACTGGATTTTCACCTTACCCTGACGGATCCAGTTTTGCTTCAATTGCTACCACCATGCAGACGGGTCGCCACCAAAAATACCCTTTTATTGTCGGGCACTTCTTTGTAATCCAAGATCTCCTCTACTGCCGCCAGCCAATCGAGGAATTCATCTGCCTCAATTCCACCGTGAAATTCAGGTATATCAACCTTGAATCCGGATTCCCATCGCTGAAATGCGTCCTGCTGTTGCACACGAGGCTGTTGAACACGATCGCCACGTGCCTCTGACAAGGTCTCCTCATCCAACCTCTCCCCTGATTCAGATTCACCTCCACCATCACTCACTGGGGCACGACGTGGAGGAGCAGGAGGTGTTCCGTCCTGCACAGCCTCTGTCGCCCACGTCATGAATTGATCAAATCGGATTGTCAACGCCTCAACTTGATTACGCAGATCTGCAACTTCATCAATCTGGCCACCACGGCCACCACGTCCTCTCCCACGCACCATGCTCTGATACCAAAATGATGTAGATTGAATCTACAAACACATGACAGCAATAACCAAACGGATTGAATTCAAAAACAAACTTTTATTATTTCGTGAACAACCAAGAAAACCCTAGGATGCGTCTTGCAGCATCTTAAATATGAAAGAAAAGATAATCTACTGGGCCAGCAGTCCCAAAATGGGCTGCGCTACAAAATGGAAATAACAAATGCTGAAAATAAATAATACAAAAACTTAAAATGCTGTTTTGACACACTAAACGACTTCAAATGCCCAAAAACCCTCATACATCACAGCAAATCAATCTGAAACACTCGCTACCTTTCCGAAATGGGGTTATGGGCCCAAAACGGACACCAAACGCAAAAGTTACATCAATTTTTTTGAAAGCCGACCATCCAACCATTCCATGTATGCCAATGCCCGTTCCTCCACATAAACCTCATCAATAGTATTGTTGGAGTCTTGGACAAATTAAGGCTGAGTTAGGCCAAGAAAAGAATTCAAAAACGTTAAAAACTCTTTTTCCTCCCGAGATATTTTCAGCATGGGTACTACGGCGCCCGATTTAGGTGAAAAAACTACACTGTGTAGTTTTCAGTATTTTTATTATAACCTCTTCGTCCGATATTCGATTAAGATGATTCAAGATACTTTGGAAAGCTAACTCAAAGAGCTACAATTTTCCTTCAGACATCATTCTCCAATTCAATTGTTGATATGTCAAAAGTGGGTCTTAATATGATACTAAAACTTCTGAGTGTAACTTTTTCGGTTGAAAATTGATTTGTGACCATATTTTTACTAAATTTAATCTCTTTGACATCTTTCTTCATCCAATTAACTCATAGCACTCTCGGATCTTCATTGCGAGGTTCCATACAACTTTTGATTATTTACATTTTAGTCTCCAAACTTTGGATATTTTACAATTTGGTCCATTCTCTCCAATTTTGTCAAGTTTTGCTTATTTTCTTCAATTTCATCAACATATATTGCAATATCAAAACACACATTAAAAACCTCCAAAACTCATAGGAAATAGCTAAATATCAAGTTGAGATAATATCTAAAGTATGAGTGAATTACACTCATCATAGTTCGATGGGGTGTTTGTGCCTCGTTTCATGGGACTAAAATTTAAAATTTAAGCAAGAAACTTTCTTTTAATTTATTGCAATATGCATTTATGTTTAATTGAATTGTCGGACATGTTTATTTGAACATGGTCGTATGTCTCCTAGTGGATATTGTCTAGATTGCACTTTAATTTGAATTTAGAATTAAATGTTTGAAGTAAATTACATTATTTTCCTTATAGCAATTTCACTGCTTAAAGTATTGGATTTTTGTTCAGCTCATTTCCAATTAAATGGTTAGCTGGCTGCCATATACTCTTGTACTATTATAAAATTGTCTCATGGACATATTAACTCGTATAATTTAAAGAAAGCTTTTGGACATATTAACTCGTATAAAATAGTCTCATGGACGGTATTAAGCAAGACTAAACATTTTAACTTCTTTTACTTCTATACTTTTATCGAGTAGTCTGAAGGAAAAATGGAATCAACGTTTCCATGAATACTAAAACCCACTGTCCCCGGATCATTTAATATGTACAAAATTTTGCACGACTAAAAATTCTGTTGATGAGCGGATTATTCGAGTAGTCTAAAAACCGTCTTTTTGAAAGTTGTACCTTTAATATGGTGTTTTTTTTTTTTAGTTTGTGGTGATGCATACGTCGTAAAATTGGCAAAAATAATTAAATTTTCATTATATTTGAGGCTGATTTAATGAATCATTTTCAATCATTCTTTTCGGTCCATATTATTAAAAAATTTCCACCATTCTCTTCTTTGATAAGTTTTTGCACTTATTCTATACGTTACATCCTCGTTACATCATTTGTTTTGTTATTAATAAAATTTAAATACTTATTATCACTCAAAAGAAGTTACATGTTCTCTATCTTTGTTTCACTTATGTAGAACCTTCGGATTGCAACATCTTTTTCAAAATGTTTATTTATAATTTACTTAGTCCCCCTTAGTTTGACTAAGCTAAAAAAGAAGCAAAAGTTATTTTCGTAACCAGAGAAAATGCATATATTTACATGTCATACATAAATACATCAGAAAACATGAAAAGTAGGTTTATATTTTCCGCATCAAGTATTCATTGTGAACTAAGATATATAGAAGTAAGTTTTAACAATACATTTGATGAATAATGATATGAATGTTTCAAATTACATCATACGATATTTGTTCTTCAAATGAGAGATGGAGGAGTTGTTCTGCCGCGAATTTGATGGAAACTTCATAATTTCGTCATTGCATAGTCCATAACATCCACAAGAAAGTCTGCATTAAAGAAATTTGGAACTTCAGTTTCGGAAAAAAGAAAAGCAATTTAGTCGCATAAAAAATATCAGGTATCTACCCACCGGCGTCCTCCTTACTGAAGCACAGTGGAGGTGTAAGTCTGAACACATTTCCGTAGAAACCACCTTTGCCGACCAATACTCCCATATCTTGAAATTTAAACAGAATTTAATTATAATGTAGCTCGAAAAATAAGCCTAATGCTGAGATAAAAGTGAAATGCAAATCATACCTTTCATTTGGTCCATCACTTGCAGAATTTCGACCTTTGCAGGAGTTTTTAGTTGACGGTCAGTGACTAGTTCGACCCCAAGCATCAATCCTCGTCCTCTTACATCACCAATGACTACATATACACACAACAATGTTATTGATTAAACAAATAACCCGTACTATAGAAAGCAATTAACAATACAAAAGGGAAAAACAAAAATAAGAAAACATACGATTTAATGTGTTTCACTCTCAATGCAAGGGCTATGTCCACCTAATGTCATTGCAGAATTGCACTATATCGAAGATGATTACGTGTGTTTCAAAGATTAGGTTAATGTCACAAAAAATATTTGTTTAATTCATTGCATAGACATAGAGGGAAACACATTGTGGTATTGAGGGATTTCACTTGTAATTGTACAAAGTTCTCTTTGAATATGAGAAGGCATTCTTCCAAAATGTTCTCATCTTCTATTTCTTCTACATTTCTGTCCTTATTTCTTAAGTTCGGTTTCTAGAAAGGGTTGAAGAAGGATGGCTTAGGGGCGAAGAGAGGGCAAGCCCATTTAGGAATTTATAAGCAATTTTTTTATCCAGGAATTTTATCTATGTATTATTATTATTATTTTTTTTATATATATTTTTATATTTTTTGTCCCGTGACTCCGCTCCGAGCTAGCTTAATGTGTTCTAGCAACGGGTAAGAACTTTGCAACGATAAGACTGTGCAGTGCATGACACAGTTGACAAGCTTGTGATAATGTCTATTTTTTTTCTCTATTATGACACAGAAAGAAGCTCGCCCTTATACACTTTATATAGGAAGAAATATTAAGTCGAATTGTGGTCAATTGAAAAAAGTGTACGGTAGATTGGACTCCACAGATATACAAGTTGAAGAAAATGATTAATAGATAGACTAATTGGGTAGAGGCGACAATTATTCAATTATCTCCGTATTGCAATGTTTTGATGGGGGCTATCGAAAACAAAGCTTACCTAAATGCACTGCCTACACCATAATGTGAGAAGAAGAAATCCTACATTAGATGAAAGTTGGGTAAAGTCTATTCACGGTAACTATAGTTTGACTCTAATATCAACTACATAACTTTACTTCATTTTGTTAATTGGGTAATTATGTCTTAATTTGATTTCAATTAACGTAACTTCGATAAACTCTACTGACGACAATTAATGATGCGACAGTCAATAAATGATGGTTATCACGCTTAATTGTTAGTAATCAACGAAAAAATTATATATTACTTAGTAATACCATATAATTATCTTATCAAGTATGCACAAAATACAAATACAGCATAAACTCGTTAAAGAAGTGAAGTTTACTTTCATGTTTGGATTTGAGATCATTGAGGCGCTCTTTCAAGTAGGAACCAACGACATGAGAATTCTCCTGAAGTTTTTCCCTCATAATCACTTTGAGAACAGCATGCCCTGCAGCAGTACATACAGGGTTTCCTCCAAAGGTGTTGAAGTAACATCGACGAGTCAATACCTCAGCAACTTTAGGAGTAGTTACTACAGCGCCGAGGGGAATTCCATTTCCAATCCCCTGCATTTCTGAAAAAGAATGGGTCAATTTTTTCTCTAAAAGAATTAAACCAATACGTTGCTTCCAGTGCGAAATGGAGTACAACCTTTGCCATTGTAACTATGTCTGGAACAACATCATGGGCTTCAAATCCCCAGAAATGGCTCCCGATGCGAGCAAACCCAGACTGAACCTCATCCGCAATACAGAGACCTCCTACTTTTCTGATGATATTATATACAGCAGGCAAATAGCCCGGAGCTAACTCCATTATTCCGCCAACACCCTGTTGCAAAAAGAAATATTTCACATGAGAAAGCCTGGCTTACTATCAGGAGGACAATGAAAAAAATTATGAAGAGCCAATGTATGATGATGGTCACAAGGAATTCAGTATAGGGTCTAACTGTCCTGGAAAATTTATGTCCCCCTCCTAAGATTGTCGTTTATCTTATATTTTTGCTCCAATGAAAAGTTCGTCCCAGTAGTGGTTTGATTATAAGGAAAAAAACTTTAAAGTTTAGTGTAGATTGGAGAGGCTAGAAGGAGAAAATGGAGATGATTATATAAATTGGACATTACCTGTATAGCTTCAGAAATAAAAGCAGCAACACGGCCAGAAGTTCCGAACTGAATTAGATCTTGAACATCGTGTGCATATTTTTCACCATCTGCACCAAATAGACCTCTATATGGGTCTGGATTCATGGCATGATGAACTCCACTCTGTTTATGATTGTAAAAACACATCTTATGTACTCTGTAATATCATAACGCTCATTCCAAAGGAAAGACATACAAATACATGCATTAGCTGAGAAGATGTACTCTTTCGAATCCAATTATTTAGCAGTACTGGAAGTATTGGACTTCACTGGAATTATAAGGAAGTTCATTGTTCAATTAGAACTATAATATGCAGAACAACAAGGCTGTAGTACAATTTCACATCGGAGCTACATATTCTTAAAAATTAACTAACAGTCAAAATTTGTTAGTTAAAATCAAATAGAGATTTCAGTAAATATTCTTTAATCAATCTTTTCAAACTTATATGACCATGAATAGTCCATCACCATAAAGAAACTATGAGTTGTCTAATGAGTACCAAATTTAACTCGCAAACATAAGAATGCAGAAATAAGTACACTCATCATTCCTTGCAATTTATATATAATGAACGTAATTTTTTCAGATGAAATCATTTGATTTTGGAGATACATTTGTGGCATTAGATTAGTCCTTTTACCCTTATTATAAATGTTCAAATGATAGAAGGTGAAAATGCTTGGCACCTGCACAACATTGAATTTCCAATTGCTTTGTGCAGTGGCGGCCATAGTCCCGGAAGCATTTCCATGGTATGCATTCCTCAGTGATATGATATCATGACAATCTGTGTACAATCTTGCCATCATCATGGCTAATTCATTTGCTTCTGTCCCTGAATTTGTAAAGAATACAACCTACAATTCAATACGAATTTCATTAGTATACAGCCTAATCAAACTTTGCTTATTGTTTCAGATAAATTATGCCACTTAAAAAAAAATTGTAGCACCTTGAGATCACAGGGTAACTTTGAGGCTAGTGCCTCAGCAAAATCAGCAATTGCATGATTAAGGTAGAGAATAGTGGAGTGCTGTAATCTGTTCGTTTGGTCAATGATGGCCTTAACCACATCAGGGTGACAATGCCCACAATTCACAGTGGCAATACCACCGAA